GCCAGCCTCAGCGCCCACCTTCGCGCGCAGACCGAGCGCAGCAGCCGGCCGCGCCAACGACTGGCCAGTGATCGATCGCAAAAATAATTGGAGAGCTGATCGATCGATATTGAGGCCGTAATAAAGCTATCTGCCTAAAATCAATAACGCCGATTGCAAGACACTTCCAAAAAAACTAGCGAGTGCCTTGATCTAGATTCTGCTGGGATAAAAGCATAATCCGGGTATTCAAGTAATCTAACATGAACCTTTTTTAGTCAGCTAACCAGGGTTGAAAAGCCGCGTCGCGACTTTTCAACCCTGGCCCCGTCTGACCCCGTTTTATCCTTCACTTTGCATAATTTTCCTGAATTCAGATGACAAAAAATGAAAAACTACCTGTTGAGCCCCTTTATATAGTCGAATTCCCACTTCCGGTCTAAGCTAATTGTTCCTAACAAAGAGGTTTTTACAAAAACTTAAATTTAATGTCGAAAATGGGTGATTTTGTTAAATCTGATATGCGTGCAGTCATCTCCAGGCCCTTACGCATCTAATGACGTATTATACATACCTTAAAATTCATCTCTTATCGAGATATCCTCCGGACAGACATCCGGAAGTGGATGCAAAGTGTCACACACACACAGACACTATTTTTTTATATACCAGGGTTGAAAAGCCGCTTCGCGACTTTTCAACCCTGGCCCCGTCTCGGACCCAATAATATTCTGCCCTTTGCATAATTGTCCTCCATTCAGAAAACAACAAAAAAATGAAAAGAACCCGTTCTGCCTCTTTATATAGGCGACCACCCACTTCCGGTCTATGCTACCTATCCCTAACAAAGAGGTTTTTACAAAAACCTAAATTTAATAGCGAAAATGACCAATTTTTAAAAAGCTGATTTGTGTGCAGTCATCTCTAGACCATTACGCACCTAATGACGTATCATACGTAGCCTAATACCCTTCCCTTCTTGAGATATCCTCCGGACAGACAGACGGAAGTGGATGCAAAGTGGCACACACACACAGACACTATTTTTTTATATATAGTAGGATAGTAGGATTAAAGTCAGTTTTTAGTAAACTAATCAAAAACACAGCCTTAGTATTTCCCAAGACCGAAAAACCAACAAAAACGGCGAATTTGAGTTTTAACTTCTTGCCCTAAAAATTCGCGCAAACCACCTACAGAAAATACCCGGAATTTGAAACGATTCGCAGATCTAGCGGCAAAGGCAAGAAAAGCGCTGAATTTGGCAGTTTTCATATCCTGTTCCACCAAGGTTCACGAAAGCGTCCTTCAAATTGAGATGTGACATTCCTTTTCTCATTCAAGAAGATCGCGACAAAACCTAAAAATTGCTCCAAACTTCATCAATAAAACCAAGCGGGAAAGACTTTCTCGAAAGGAACACCAACAAGTTCTCGCTCAAAAGCTTTATTCCTCGCACAAAAAACTCTCATCACACAGCAAGAGAGAGGCGAGTACGGTGAGTGAAAAAAGGGGCCGGGGTGCGAGTATTAAATAGTAAGGCGAGAGATCCATTGTGGTGTGCGGGGGGTAAATTTGGGATTTTTGGGTGGTGATGTGGGTGGCGGCGATGTGTCGATGGTGTTCACGCCGTTGTGGTGGTGGGTAGATGAGGCCGAAGCGGGTCGTCGGGTCGGCCGGCTACTCCTTCTGAAAACAAAAAAAGTGTAAAGCGCAAAAATTCCATTAAAAATAGCATTTTTCATTCAAAAATAGGAAAGCTGTTTTTACGCTCATTTGCAGTGTTTATGTACAAAACATCTCAATTTTGCGTGGGAAGCTCTTAAATTTTAGCAAAAATGAAATTTTTTAAGCGATTTTCATTCAAAATACAACGAAATTCGATTAAAAAACTGCTAAAATACTACGATTTTACTATTTATCTCTTTAAAAATACCATTACCTTCTCCTCCTTCTTTTCCTCTTCCTTCTTCTCATCCTTTTTCTCGTCTTTCTCTTCCTTCTTCTCCTCCTCCTTCTTCGGCTCGTCCTCCTTCTTCTTGTCGTCGCTCTTCGGCTCCTCCTTGTCCTCCTTTTTGTCGCCCTCCTTCTTCTCGTCGGGCTTCTTCTAGAAGTCAAATTTTAAGTGGAGAAACCAAAAGAAAACCATACCTCATCTTTCTTCTCCTCCTCCTTCTTGTCGTCTTTCTTGTCGTCGCTCTTCGGCTCTTCCTTCTTATCATCCTTCTTGTCCTCCTTTTTCTCGTCCTTCTTTTCATCCTTTTTCTCGTCCTTCTTGCTGGCCTCCTTCTTCTTGTCGTCCTTCTTGCTCGTCTCCTTCTTCTTGTCATCTTTCTTGCTCGTCTCCTTCTTTTTGTCGTCTTTCTTGCTCGTCTCTTTCTTTTTGTCGTCCTTCTTGCTCGTCTCCTTCTTTTTGCTGCCCTCCTTCTTGTCGTCGGGCTTCTTCTCCTGAAAAAAAGCGTATTAATCAAGTGGAAAAACAGTTAGATAACTTTAAAAACTAAATGGTTGAAATTTCCGTCGTAAAAACAAGCTTTTTGGGGCGAAAAATCCATGACTTGGTATTTTTAACAAACTTGTAACGAATAGAATAGTAAAAAAATAGCTAAAATACCTCCTCCTTCTTCTCTTCCGGCTTCAACACCTCGAGCACCGTCGGCCGGACCTCGGTGACCGCCGAGACGATCGGGTTTTCGACAAGCCCGCCGCCCGGCGCGTCCTTCTTATCCGACGGCACCGCCGGCCTCAGCGTCGCTTGTGCCTAAAAATAAAAATAAAATTAACGCGGTCAAGTATACCTTGACTTCCTTGTTATCCGCCTTCTTCTTGTCGCCGTCCTTCTTGCTGCCCTCCTTCTTCTTCTCATCCTTCTTCTTGTCGTCCTTCTTCTCCTCCTTCTTGTCGTCCTCCTTCTTCTCCTCTTTCTCCTCCTTCTTCTCTTCTTTCTCTTCCTTTTTCTCCTCCTTCTCTTCCTTCTTTTCTTCCTCCTTCTTCTCCTCCTCCTTCTTCGGCTCCTCGGGCTTCTCGGGCGACTTGGCGGGCGGGGCGGCGGCAGCTGCAGCGGCAGCAGCGGCGGCGACGCCCGGGGATGTCGGTGTTATTAAGTGTCTTCGCGCCGACGATCGTCTTCTTGCCCGGCGATTTCGAGGGTAGCGTCGGTTCCTAAAGATCGTGTTTTCATAAAAGTTGCAGGCCCAAAAAACTTTGGTAAGTAACCTAATCTTTTTCAAGCTTTTTTCTAGGCGCCTTTTTGTTCTACAAGGCCGTAAAGGATACCAAAACGTTCGCCATGGTCTAATTAGTCTGAATTCCGTAGATTTGCGCAGAAAAAATAGTGAAAGTAAAAAATTTTAAGTTGGAAAAGTCGGAATTGACTGGCTAGCCTTTACTACGTGTTTATCTCGGCTTCCTTTTGTGCTACAGGGCTGTAAAGTATACCAAAATGTTCGCCGTGGTCTAATTAGTAAGAATACATTACTTTCGAGTCGAAAAAAATAGCAAAAGATCACATAATTACTTTGGAAGAGTCCGAATTGACTGCCTAGCCGTTTCTGCGCGTTTATCTCGGCTTCCTTTTGTGCTACAGGGCTGTAAAGTATACCAAAACGTTCACCGTGGTCTAATTAGTAAGAATACATTATATTTGAGTCGAAAAAAGATGAAAACGATAAAAATAAGCAAGGTAAAAACCCTAATTTCGACTCGGGGGCAGAGGCTAACCTAGACTTTAGGCCTGTAAAGTATTCAAAAAACGTTCGCCTGATTCGATAAAGTATTTAGATTAAGAAAAGCAAGAAAACGAAAAATACGACAAAATTCCGCCCAAATTAGCATAAAAAACGCGTTGCATACCTTCTTCTTGCCGCCGCACCCGATGACGGCGATGCAGAGGAGGGCGTTGAAGGAGCATCGAGAACAGTTCAGCAACCATTGGCCATTGGACAATATGTAAGAGAATTCCCATTATCAAAATAGGTGGCCGGCCGTCGAGACGATGGGATGTGTAGAAATGACTGGATTTCGCGCCTCGATCGCGGCATGTCGGCCATTATGCAGCAGGGAAATGGCCTCACTTCCGGTATGCTGGAATCAGATTTTTTACAGCGGTATCTTTTTTGGTACTGGACTGTTAGCAGGGGGGAATAACTAAATTTAACCCGTTTTTATAAGACTTTACATACTTTTTAGGTATAAAAACCCCATAAAAAGTATCAAATTTTCAACAATTTGGGCTTTTTTGGTCAAAAATCTATAAAAATTCCTAAACAACGTGAAGATTTTCGAATTTTGAAAAAACGTTTCAAGATTTTTGTAATATCTAGCATTCAATAACTGCGAAAAACGTTTTAAAAATACACAAATTATTATTAACAGGTAGATTATCCCCCCCCCCGCTAACAGTCCAGTACCTCTTTTTTAAATTTAAAAGAATTGAATTTTAGCCTCTTTATTAGTACACAAGGATACTAATTCCAGCTTTCTTTGCTATAACGCGCTACTTACCGTAACATATGGCGTCATTAGGGTGTAGCACGGAGTCCTCATCAATTTCTGCGATTTCAAATCTCTTTTTTTCATTTTCATTTTCCTCAATTTTTTATCGCTGGGCTTTCTCATTTTTTCCCCTCTTTTAAATTCTTCTAAATTTTAAATTGAATTTAAATTCTTGTAAAGCTCTTTTTCAGTTAATTTAAATAGTTCAGATTGTGATGACTCTTTTGTAAGCGCAAACCATTTAGAAATGGTTTTATGCAACTCGTCGCGTTTTCGGTTTCGAATTTGTTCTCTTTTAGCCCATTTTCTCTTTTGCACGGCTGTTCCTCTCTCCGTTTCATTTGCAGCCCTAGGTTTCAAAAGCTTCCGCTTCTCGCTTTTTCTTGTTTTCTTAGATTTCTACTTTGCGCACCTTCCTTTTTCGATTTTCCTGCTCTTGCCCGTTTCTACTTTACCAACTTTTCTCTTTCAGGTCTAAGCACTAACCACTTGTGCCGCTCGCCACTACCGCAGTCATCTCCGCCAACATGTCAACTCGCGCCAAGATGCCGTCGATTTCGGAGGACGAGACCGCCGCCGTGCAGCAGCAACATCATCACCTACTGGCTGGGGTATATTTTCATACTTCTCTGCCATTTTAAACTTTTGTTTTAGCTAAGCCAGCTATCCTGCTCGACGGGCAATAACGAGGGCTTCACCCTGAACCGCACCGACGAGGAGAAGTCGGAAACGCGCAAGAGCGAGGCCCCCCTCCGACGATTGCGTCTCGATGCGCTCGCAGGCCGCACAAACGACCCGCGTTGATGGCATGATGAATGTGGGGGATTTTCAGTTCTTTTGCATTATCAAAGGGGACAAAAATATCTTGTAAAAGTCTAGAAGTGCCTAGTGCCGTGATAGAAAGTATATTTATCATGTTTTTGGTCGGGTAAAGCTATATTTCAACCGAAAAACGTCTGAAAACTTTCAAAAAGTCGAGTTTTGCTCAAAAATGCCATTTTGGCGAGAATCATTTTTTGTTTTTGGGAAGTTGAAGTTTTCGTTTAGAATAGTTTAAAACAGTTTAGAACCTCTCTATTTAATTTTAAAGTTGCTAAGTGAAAATTTTGTCCTCCGCCATAATGCAAAAAATTATATTTTTGTTTCTTTTTCATATTTTTCTTTTAGCCGCTTCCACCTCCACCTCCACACATTGTCACGCCACGTACTGAGGCTGTAGCCGCCGGCGGGGCCCCGTACACCTTCCGCCAGATCCAGCAGATCACCGTCAAGCCCACCCAGCAGCAGCAACACAAGTATTGCGATTGGGATAGCTTTCTAATTATGATTTAGTAACACCCCGGTGAAGCTGCTGCAGGCTGATATCAACAACAACAATCGAGCCACGCCCAGCACTCGCAGCAACAACAACACGGGTGGCCGCGGGAATGGACGCGCCGGACTGCTGGGCTCCCGCCCCTACCAGCCAAGCACCACCACCAGCAACCCGCCGACCTACGGCCAGAAGTCGTTCCAAGTTGGCCAACCGACGTGGCGCAACCGTCCTGCCTCGGGAGCTGCTCAAATTGGTAAACTCTTGCTTGTGTTTAACTCGTAAAAGCCAAGGTGAAAGCTCAGGCGTAGAAGCCAACCTTTTTTCTCTCGTGTTTTCAAATGTCTGCACTTATTCTTCGAAACCAAAAATCGAATTTTTGTCGATGGATACATGCGATGATTTTGCAGCGAAATATAGCATTCAGAAAAATTTTGTTTTCTTGGTCGTTATTGCACTTTCCCTTTTTTGACCCGCACTAGAGGCGTTTTTTAGTCTCGTCGTGGTTTCAAGCTGGGGTCAAGCCCATCGTGAGCAGAATTTTGCCCTGATTTGGAATACGTTTAGCAACTTTGCGGAATCGCGTTTTTCCGAAAGTATGCAGGACTAAAGACCAAGAAACATCCCAAAATAAGCCATTTTCTAGGGGTTACCGGTCTTAAATCGTTATTTTCGGAAAACCGCAGTTCGGCAAATTTTGAAAACGTATTAGCAATCAGCGCAAAATTCTGCACACGATTGGCTTAGTCCAACCTTAAATCGCCCAAAGGCACTAGAAAACGTTTCTTTTGTAAAAAACACTCTGATTTTCATAAACTCTATCTGGTTCTTTATCAATCATCTTTTCTTTAGGCAACAACTCACCGACGCTCCGTTCGCAGAGCAAGGTTCAGCCGCCGATGCCGTTCAGCGACGTGTCGGCCGGCCAGCAGTACCCGATGATCACCACCGGGATGAACGGCGTCATCACGCTCATCCTCGCCCCCAAGTGCTACCTGGAGATGAGCGTCGACAAGTGCCTGCACATCGTCGCCCCCGACAAGTTTGCGGTAAGGAATTTTCTCAGTTTTTGAATCTTGCGTTTTTAGGTCACGCTGAACACGAAGGGCACGTCGAACGTCGTCCAGCATCCGCGCGCCAAGATCGTCCACTGCGACCAGAACATCTGTGCCAGATTCAGTACGATTTTGGCTTTTTTTGTTGAATTTTTGCTTTTAGCGGCTGAAAACGACAAGATGGCCGTGTTCGACACGTACGGCGTGCTCTTCACGATGGCCCATCTGGCTCAAGGGTACCTCATCAGCTCGTCGCAGAATGTGCAGCAATACAGGGTAATTTTTTACGTTAGATTTTTACACTTTTCCTTAGGCTCCGATAATTGTGCCGATCGACGTCAAGCAGTTTGCCACGATGAACGGGGATCGCGACTGGGCCACCTGGTCGTTCTACACCGAGAGCCAGACTGGACCCACGGTATATTTTGTATGAATATTTTTAGCCTTTTATGAATTACGGATCTTTCGCATTATCGCAGGGGGTGGCCGGCTTTTCGTAAAATTTTGGCTTTCGGGTTGAGGCCGTACTTTGTAGAGTTTTGAGATAAGTATTTTCACAAATTTCTTTCGAAAACTTCAATCAAATTTGGAAAAACTAGCTCTGGCAATAACGCCGTTTTGATAAAGTTTTTCGTTGTATTTACAAAAGTTCGTAAGATTTTTTTTGGACTATTTAAAAACTTTTATGCTTTGTCATTTGTGTTGAAAATTGAATCGAAAGAACTTTTGGACTAGCTAATCCCGTGTTTTATTAGTTTAAAAACCATTTTTTAGCAAGTGGAGCTGTGTCGCGAAATCGTCAACCAGGCCGTCATCGAGAGCCGCTCGGCCGACGGGAGCTACGCCGTCCGCGTGCACGACATTCGCATCGACTGCTTCCCGGACGGCGAGATCACTGTAATTTTACTTTTTCCGCTTTTTGAAAAGATTATTTTAGATCAACGCCCGTCCTCGTCAAGTGTGCTGCAACTGGCAGACCGGGCTGGTGGCGCTGCGCACCCCGTCGATCGACATCGCCATCGAGGAGGACGAGAAGGCGTACGTGAAGAAGGGGCTGAAGCGCGTGCACGTCTCGTGCAGCGGAATGGTCGTCTCCGACGGCAACATTGTGGCCAGCACCGATCAGCGCGGCCGCATCATCTCGGCTTGAGGCGACGAGAACGAGACTCGGAATGTGGCAAGGTATCGCTTCTGGACTGTTGACGGGGAAAACAAAATTTTTCCTGTTTTCTTTACGGCCCTGTAACAATCTAAACCATTTTTGTAGCATTTTACGTCGTTTTTCGATATAAAAACAATATAAAAATAAAAATTTTCGAAGATTTTTGACTTTTTGATCGAAATCCTATGAAAAATGACCCAAAATTGTCAAAATTTCGAATTTTCAAAGTTTTTAGGATTTTTTAAAATTTTCTGGCAATCAAGAACTATTAAAAATGCTATAAAACTATTTTTTTATTATGAACTAGTTGAGATGGAAATATTTTGCACTTTTTGGTCGAAAAATTATGAAAAATCGGGGAAGGTCCAATTTTCGAAGTTTCAAAATTTAACAAAATATTTTTACAACTTTCTAGCAATAAAAACTACTAAAAATACTATAAAAATACTTTGTTTAAATTTGAGTACGGAAAATAGGTAGAAAAACAAAAAGTGTGCCCCCCCGCTAACAGCCAATTTCCAGGATTGATCCACGCGTCTTCGTGCCATTGACCAACACACTCACTTCACCCAATTTGTCGGATACTCTCATCCTCTGCTTACAACTTCATTTCTGGACTTGTCTCGCGTTTTCTCACTCCTCATCCCCCTAGTTATTCGCCTGATTCGGTGCTGTGTTTGTGTTTTTCGGCTTTTTCTGGCCTTTTCTTTTTGTCTGTTTCTGTTTGCCGCGCCGCCAAAAAAGAGGGCCGGTTGTGTGTATAATTTATTGATGACATATTATGGATTGATTGTCGCCCTGTGAATCTTTTTTTTTCCAATTGTCCGCGTCATCCCCGCCCACCCGAATTTTGTTTAGTTAACTGAAATAAACTTACTTTTGCGAATCGAGGCTTTTGGTTTTGCGAGTTTGACACCGGCCGCTACGGAGCAATACAGTTGACGCGGCTTTTCATGGCGTAATTGAATAGTGTTGAAGCGAAATTTTGGTTCCTAATAGATTTTTAAATTCAGCGATTATTAACTTTCTATAATAATAGTTATTAAGTTAAATTGTGTACTATAACACTGTATTTCATAAACTACAGTATGAGAGCATACTTTACAACCGAAAATGGTTATTTTAGGGTTAAAACTTCTAGTTATACATATTACAAGCGTCCGATTCGTCCAAGATTTACTAATTGCCCTAACTAACGGCTACGTTTTCCTTCTTTTTTTTTTAAGTTTTAGAAAGCTTTAGCGAGTAACTTGCTTCATTGAAAGAAGCTTTTCCTGGGTGATTTTCCATTTTTCGGTTATTGACACGTTTTCGCGTGTTGGTTTGGCGGCTTCAGCTCAACTCGTTTTTTTCCAGATGAACGTGCTGGAGCTGCTGAAGATTTGCGACAACCTCAAGCACCTGAAACGGACCGGATGGACGAAGTTTAAGGTAAGAAATCGGTTTTTAAACCGTAAAGAGCCGTTGTTTTGATCCTAATTGGTTTCGAATTACGCTCCAAGGCTTTGTAATCAATTTTTTTCAGTATTTACAACTTGGAAAGCTACCTAATCCATTTATTTTGATATTTACAACCTTTACATTACAAACTATACGTCTTTTCCAGATCGACGAGCCGGAGACGGTGGCGTGCCACATGTACCGGATGGCCGTGCTGTCGATGGCGCTGGAGGGCCAAATCCCCGGGCTCGACGTCAACCGATGCGTTCGGTGGGTTTTGGCTTTTCTTTTTCCTCTAAGGATCCATGCTAGCCGGCCTCTCCAATTATTTATTTTTTTCAGGATGAGCCTCGTGCACGACATTGCCGAGGCGATCGTCGGCGACATCACCCCGCATTGCGGCGTCACCGAGGAGGACAAGCACTCGCTGGAGCACAAGGTTTGATCAAATTTTCTGATATGAATAGAGAAAGTATTTTTAAACTATTTTTTACTATTCCTTAGCGTAAAAACGTACAAGTTTTGGCTAAAAAATGCAACAAAAAATCAATTTTTCCACCAGAATTACCCGATTTTGTCAAAATTTTCGACGTTTTGAAATGCTTTAGAGTTTCTATACAGTTTTTCTAGATGAAATATAGTTCTAGTTTTTTTAAAAACGCTAATAAGATAGGATTTTTAGGCATTTCTGGACTTCTAGCAAAAATTTTGGCTTTGAGGTGCTCAGATTATGTAGCATTCAAACCGCAAAACGATATCTCAATTTGAAACACGATTTTAGAAAAAGAAAAAAAATGCAAAACGGTCTTATAGGTTCTTTCTTTAAAAGGCATATTTTCGTTTTCAGGCCATGCAAAAAATCGCCACCTACCTGCCGGCGGAGACGGGGGAAGACTGGGTCCAGCTGTGGCGGGAGTACGAGGGTCGAACCACCAAGGAGGCACAGGTCAGCTTTGTTCGCTTTTTTTCCCCTTTATCCCCTTTTTCAGGTCGTCTTCCACCTCGACAAATTCGACATGATCGCCCAGGCGTTTGACTACGAGCAGAAATATGGTCGGTTTTGGGTTTCGGGTGGGCTAGCGGAGATTTTTGAGGAATTGGCCAACGTTTCTTTTGCATTATCGGGGGGGCATTTTTTATAATTCCGAAAACGCCTAATAACGCAATATACATTGTTTTATTAGTGTTTAGTAAAATAAACCGGATTTATACGAGAATAATTCCCTAAAAACTTTTAAAAATTTTTTGAGAAGTCGAAATTTGGCGAAAAAGCCGGCCATTCTTGGCCAAAGAAAAAAAAATCGATATTTTGCAGAAGCCGGCCATTTTTGGTCAAAAATATCAATATTTTGGAGATTTCTTACTACAAATTGGTTTAAATAAATTTAAACACGTTTTGAAGGCATTATCGTTAATTTTATAGGGGCCCCCCGATAATGCACAAGAACCAGAAAAATAGGGCTAGCAGAGATTCTTTCGGAATCAATTCCTTTTTTTTAGACGTCGACCTCTCGCAGTTCTTCTCCTCCACCGACGGCAAATTCACGATGGCGCCATTCACGACGTGGGATCGAGAGCTTCGCGACCGGCGCCAACAATGGATAGATTCAAAGGCCGCGTAATAAATATACAATTGTTACTGTGTTTTTCTAGATTCATTTTGTGATTTTTTACACGTTGCTTGATGGCTCGAATCGGGTGAATAAATATGGCATGCCACAACTGTCGGCTATTGAACTGATGCATTCAAGGCGCGGCACATATTCTTCTGAAACATTTGCTTTTTTAGATTTATTTTTTTCTACATTAATTTAAGGCATTTTGGTCATTTTTACAAATTAAATTTTTGACCAAAAAGCGCGAATTTTTCCAATTTAATTAGCCCCCCGCTAACAGACCGGTAACGATCAATTTTACGAGGTTTTGGTATTTGTGGGTTCGAGCAGGTGAATAAATATGTCTTGCCATCAATGCTGGAAATTGAATTTGCAGTTTCCTTGGCGGGCCAATTTTTTTCTGAAACATTTATTGTTTCAGATGGATGGCGGCTTTGATGATTTCTTTGATTTGGCGTTACATTTCTAAAACTATTGGTGGGCGAAACCAGATTTTTCTCTGTAATTCTGTACGGCTCTATAAAAGAAACAATGCAAAAAAATAATATAAATCTTTGAAAACGGTGAATAAATGTGGGACGCTTTACCTTTGGATTATTGAATTGTCACGTTCCCGGCACGGCATCTATTCTTCTGAAACATTTACTTTTTCGCATCTTGCGGTTTTTCGCATATTTCTTTGAGTTTGGGTTTTATACTCCCAACGCCCAGCAACGCTAAAAAACTAAACGGAAAATGTATGCAATTTTTGTAACTACAACCAGAAAGTTCCTTTAGTTCAAATTCAGAATAAATTGGTACTGGGCTATTAGCGGCGGGGGACCCAGTTTTGTTTTTCCGCCTATTAATTTGTTACCAATTCCTGACATTTTTATCGTATTAATAGTTTTTGATTGTTAGTAAGTTACAAAAATCTTTAAAGATTTTGAAAATTCGACATTTTGACCTCTTTAGGCCATTGTTCATTCATTTTCGACCAAAAAGTCCAAACTTTTCCTATTTTAATATTCCCCCCGCTAACAGACCAGTACCAATCATTTTTTCAATTTTTCATTTTTCTTTTTGGCGGCTTCAATAGGATGAATAAATATGCCATGCGATTACTGCCGGCTATTAAACTGATACATTCCAGGCACGGCACATGTTCTTCTGAAACATTTGCTTTTTTTTCAGATGTCGAGCTGTTGGGGGGGGAATTTCTTCGAATTTGGGTTTTTGGATTTATGAAACACTTTTTCCCATTTTCTACCCTCCTGAAGTCCGTTTATCGCTCTAGAAGGGCCAGATTCAAAAGCCACGAAATAGATGTACAATTGTTATTGCTGTATTTTTGCTAGATCAATTGGTACTGGGCTGTTAGCGGGGGGGTCACTAATTTTTGTTTTTGCTCTCCTATACCTACCTGCTGATAATAAGTAGTGTATTTTTATCATGTTTTTAGGAGTTTTCGATTGCTAGAAAATTGAAAAATATTTTTTGACATTTTGACAACTCGAAAATTTGACATTTTTGGTCACTCTTTCAAATTAGATTTTGAAAAAGCCCAAATTTTTCAATTTAATTAGTCCCCCCCCCGCTAACAGACCAGTACCGAACAATTTTTCCATATTTTACAAGTTTGTATTTGTGGGTTCGAGCGGGTGAATAAATATGGCAAGGGACGTTGCTGGGCATTGAATCGACAGATTCCTCGCGGGGTTGGTTTTTTTTTCTGAAACGTTATATTTTTCACAACTTGCGGTTTTTAGCAGATTTCTTTGAATTTCAGGTATAGGTGGAAAAACCAAAGGTGGTCCCCCCCGCTAACAGTCCAGTACCCTCAAAATTACGTCCAGACGAATGCATACTTACCACAAATAAAATATTTTTTCGAACTTTCTAGCGATGAAAAACCAGTAAAAAAACACTGTAAAAATACATTAGCTATCA